TTTAGCATTTAAAATTTTTTAAAAAAAATAATAATTTTATTGTGGATTTTCAAACCAATATTTTTTATTTAATTTTATGTCACAGTTTGATAAAAAGTATTAAATATTATATTTCATTATTTAAGACATTTATTATTGATTATTATAAAATAAATAATTTTTTTATTAACTAATGGAATGAAAATTATATTATACTATTAAATGTAAATTTAATAACAAAAACAATTTTAAGTAAAGAAAAAATGATTAATATCACGTGCGTAGCACGTGCATCTTCCTAGTTTTTATAAAGGTAGAGAGCTAAATAACCTCCAGAAATAATTTTTTTGTGATTTCCCTTGTTTTCAAGGTTTGTAACCCTTTTGATGGCTCTCAAATAGCTCCTTTGTGCTTGCAGAGAATTGGTATAGGCCAAAATTTTCCATGGTTTTGGGACTCTGTACTTTGCGCTGGTGTTGTGGTGCATGGAGTATGTGATTCGAAACCTGAATTCAATTTTCATCTGTTTCCAATCCTGGGCATCCCTCTCTGGGAAGTCAGGCTGAGCTTTGCATATCTCCTTGCCGGATACTTTTCCTATCTATCTGCCTTGGCTTTATCACCATATCGGGTGTTCTATCCAATGGCTGCAATTGGAATAGTTTCCTTCATTTTCAGGATCCTCCAAAACAGAAACAGATCAAAGGGAGAGACTCATTACAGGAGCAGAAAACATTCTCACAGACATTGACATTGTTCATCGATACTGGATTTCTTTTTTTATATGTTTCTTTCTTTCCTTTTTTCCACGGCACTGTTGCTTAGCTAGCTAGAGTCAACTGAAACTAACTTGTGAAGTTGTGATCCTGTAAAAATTGTATTTCTTGGTTCTGTAGTGAAATTTGTATTAGGATACTGCTTTTTAGCATTCTTTTACTCCGTATATTTGTGAAATATACAATATGATCACTGATTTTAATGTTTCAAACCTGTCACCCAAAGAGAAATTATTTGGAAAAAGAACTTTCATGTCATGACAGTGGTGCCAATGAAGGAGTTGTATATCCCAGTACCGATTCGAAAGCCACAAAGGAGTACACAATTCACTCAAGTTCCGAGTTTTTAGATCAGATCAATTAGCTTCAGGACTATAACACATCCTTAAACAAATCAACATAAGTTGAGCAGCACAAGCAGAATTCACCAACACAAGATACAAGTAAAAATTATCATTGCTTTCTACTCTCGCCGGCCCCTAATCCTAATGTTAACAGCTCTAGAGGCCATGGCCCTCAAATTAGCTCTAGCCACAGCAAGTGAGGGGTCTCTACCAGGCTCGTCTGGTGCCCTAAACACCTCCATAAATTCCTCCCTCTGCAATCTCAAAGCCAAAGCAGCATCCTCATCTTGGCTCGGCAATGCCCTCCTTGTACTAAACCCATGCTGTTGTCTGCTTGACGTACCACCGGACGGCCTTGAACTCCGGTGCCTGAAACTATGATTCCTTCGGTTTTCAGATTCTGGACTACTACTTAAAGCCCGAACTGTTCTGTTTCGCGTATGAAGACTTCTGTTTCTTGATTGGGTTTCCCGTTGTATTTCGTTGTTATCTGAGGTTGAAGGATCATTTCCCTTCCTTGCTTCAACTTCCTTGGGAAACAACAGTTGGATCGTGTTCCAAAGAACAGTGTTCACTGTGGAATATCTGCTATTGCTGCCAAATTTGGATCATAAAAAAATAAACCAGGCCCCAGGTTAGATTCAGTGATGCTTAATGACATTATACAGGTTATTTCAAAGCAATAAATTAAATTACCTTTCACTAGTTAAAATATACCCTTGGTAGTTTGCTATTTTGCAAAATTGCACTCTTTCAAGAGGGAGATATTTGATATGCTACATTTGCAGAGGTATACATAAATTCAACAGAGGATGCAGCCCATTGTAGCTAAGGGAGTTATGAAAATATATGATGCAGCAAGTTATGAAAATACCAGTGGATAATCTTTACTCTACAATAATAATAAATCATTGCACGACTTAAAAATCCGCCCCTTGCTTGAGCACATCATAACATAGATGGAGTTTATAGACATGGCTTAATGATTTACCACCTTATAAGCTGCCTGCATTTGGGGCACTTCTTCCCACATCTATCAGCTGCTGAATGCAAACATTTTTTGCAAAAACTGCAATAACAGAAAACAAAATATTCAGGTGAATTGTCGATTTTCGAGTTGTGACCTTTTTGCTGTGTGCACAACAAAATTTGAATTTACCTATGTCCACAAGGTGTTGTACTGGGCTCATAGCATATCTCCAAGCAAATCTGGCAAAGTCCATTTCCGATTTGAGATAAAGATAGTCCGAAAATATGACCAAAGACAATCACAAACAAACAATGGAAATAATAATGAGAGTAGATATCACTTCTTACAGCACAAGAGAGCTCCTCCCGAAGCCGATCAAGACACTCAATTCCTAGACCAGAGATGGAAACTTCATTGCCCTTTGTGTTCATTTGATCACTATCTCTATTCTTCTCTACTACTACATCTTCATTGACATTTGTCTTCTTGTCAAACTTCTCACTCTCTGTGAAATTCATAATGCCCAAAAGTGCAGAGAAAATCAAAACAAAAACTTTCACGAACCGAACAAAATGAGAAATGGAAAATTGATAAAAAGAACCAATCAGAACCTTGTTTTGATTTTGACTCATTTTCCTCGAGATCAAGAACAGTGATCGGTATCGATGCAGGGCTCCGTCTCTGAGCCTTGCGTTTTCTGCAGACACGCAAATTTTAGATCTAATCAAAGGATAATTAAAAAAAAAATCCTCAATATCTCAATGCAAATATGTACTACTTTAAAATTGCAAACGACAACAGACCCTTTTCGCACAATAAAATCTAGAATGTTGCCTAGGAATTGGAAAAATGAAATTCAAGCTAAGGAAAGAAATCTCTTCCAGGAACAAAAAAAGAAAGAATAAGAAGAAGATCCCTAAAT